ACAGCTGCAGGATAAATGTTCAGTTCTGTGATTATTCAAAATGTATTCGTTACTCGGGAATGGACTTTCGCAGCGCTTCTATTATGCAAAACTGGGTTTTGGTTGGGTTTTTTTGGCATAGCTTGGCACTGGATGGGGAATGACAGCATCTGGATTCATGGGTTCCGGAGGCTAATCATGCCTCTCCCACATTCCTACATGCTGACCTGCTTAGTGCGCAAGAGAACAATCTGCATGTGTCCAGAGAAAGCATTCCTAAGGGGAATTCCCCTCCTGCCCCTCCCTTTTTAACACAGCATTTTAGAAGCTCTATGATTGCCCTGGAGACTGATGGTGCTTCAGGCTTAGCAATGGCTGACCCTGAGCCTTCTTGCTTACTACCCGGTCAACCTATATAACCCTCCCTTCAACTAAGGGTGAATTGGATGGCCTTTTGGCTTACCAGCAGGGCAGTGCGACTGGGCCACCTACAAATAAGAGAAGGATTCCTCTGCACACAGGTGGACTCCCTGGGTACACAGAATAGCTGGGGGGGGGATATAAAATAGCCCTTCCACACACACACCCCAATAACTCAAGCATTGAGCAGGCTCATTGACCTCCAGGAGCCACAAAGCGTCAGGGGCAGTTGGATATCCCTTAAAGGAATAAAACACACATAAAAAGAGAGGGGGTGAAAGTGGCTGTCTTGCCCCCCCTGACAATTTACTGGGAAGCTTAGGAGTGGGGGAGGGGGTGTGCAACGTGATGTGAGCATCCCTTGACCCTGATTCCCATACTGTTAGTGCAGGAAGCTTTTAGCTACTCTGACTACTTTCATTTATTTATTACGTAACTTGATTCATTTGTACCCTGCCTTTCTTCCCAGTGGTCACCCAAAGTGGCTGACATCCTCCTCCTCTCCATCCTCACAACCACCCTGTGAGGTAGGTCAGGCTGAGAGACTGTAACTGACCCGAGGTCACCCCACGAGCTTCCATGGCATGAGTGGATATTCGAACCCAGATCACTAGGCTGACAAACGTAACCACTACAACCACACTAGATCTTCAGAACTTTGAAGCGTTCTGGCGAGGGATTAATTTAAGAATTAGAGAAATGACCCTTTACACATTCCCTCTGCACAAGTCCCTTCCTGGTTCTTTTAAACTGCAGAGGTGGAGCTTCTTGACAGTTGGAGGGTGCCCGTTTGCAGCCCCCCCCCATCTCCATATAGCTCAGGGCGGGAGAGAGTAACAATATTCATGCCCCCTCGTTGCACCGGTCAGGTTCAGGGCTGAAGTAGTTGGTGCCTCCTCCCCCCGGCCCCAAGCCTCTTGTCGTCAGAACTATTACTGCCCAGTGCACAAGACCAGTTCACAACTAGAAGAGCAGGATGCGACTCACTGGAGTTCAGCCGCATGCTGCTCTTGCACTGGAGGGGAGATACATATTCCTTGGTGGGGGGGGAACCCTTCAATGATCAATAAAAATAGCTTTAATGAACGCAACGGGGGGAGGGAAGAGAAATAAATCTGCCAGGCATGTACCACCAGCCACTCAAGCATCAGACTAGATAAAATTTGATTACAGCAGGATTTGAAGGACTGGAAAGAAGTGCAAAAATGGCATGCAGAGGAAAGAAAGGGCTAATGGGCCTGGCACGGCCGTAATGGCTTCCAGTAATTACGGCCCATTATAGGATGAAGCCAAACATGAGCCTGTCTGCATGTCTCTGAAAACAAGGTCAGGGCACCGCTCTGTATCAGGAAGGGCCAGTGAAGTCGTCGGGACATTCTCACAACACTTTTCTGCTGATGTACAAATTGAATTGGTGGGAGAAGTCAACAGAAGGTTAATGGAATATTCCAGACAAGCCGATGGGGTCGGCCATGGGAGGTCCCCAGGGCTGAATCTGGACTGCTGGTTGGCCAGGTCTCAAACCGTAGGCAAGACAGAGGCAGAGGTCGGGCTGTGTGTGTGTGTGTGGCAACTGCCTTTGCCACCAGCCACTTGGGCCCAGCTCTACCACCCTCCGTTGGCTGACTGGACTGAACTATAATCATAGAATCATAGCGTTGGAAGGGATCTCCAGGGTCATCCAGTCCAACCCCCTGCACAATGCAGGAAATTCACAAATACGCATAGGCGTAATCTTTGTGGGGGCGGCGGGGCTTCAGCCCCCGCCGAAATTTTTAGGAAGGTGCTCAGCCTCCCCCGGGAGCCACCCTTGCTCCTAGCACAGCAATGCCTCTGGCCCAGCCCCAGCCCCCCCCCCCCTGGGAAATTGGAAAGTCTACACCCTGGCAAGTAGGAAAGCACGTGACTCCAGCTTTAGTCAGTACAAGGCAGTGAAATTCCACAGCGCTCCAAAAATGCAAGGCAGTAGTAATCGCACTGCCATTCATCAACCTCTTAGGGCCGACGTGGGAATCTGTGACACTAAGTGGGTATAACCTAATCATCTTCTCTGTCAAAAACCAAACATAAAAGCAGGGAAATAATTAGTTAAAACTGATACAAAAAATTATTTTACATTGATGAGCTGTCTGTAAAACACACACACGTCAAGCCTGCCAAACTGTCCGCCCACTGAGCATTAGGACAGATCTGATTTAGCATCCCTTGTACTCCTTTCCTGCTCTCCCTGGGAAAAGCCCACAGCAGCTGGCGTGAAGCTGCCCGCTGGTTCCCCATTGAAACAGATCAGGGCCAAGCTTCCTTCACTCTCTCCAGGGTGCTTTGTTCCATTGCCGTTAGTAGTCAAGAGGAAAAGGCAACAACTTTGAATGTTTCCAGTTCTGCAGATGGGGAACTGAGGTCAAGGAATGCTGATTTTCTGCAGGCTACCTGTTTCCATGAGTGAGGATCTGGACTCACACCCCTCTGAACACATCCTAAGCTGCCTGCTCCTGAATCAGACCAGTGGTCTACCGACATCACTCCTAAGCTTCCCAGTAAATTGTCAGGGGGGGCAAGACAGCCACTTTCACCCCCTCTCTTTTTATGTGTGTTTTATTCCTTTAAGGGATATCCAACTGCCCCTGACGCTTTGTGGCTCCTGGAGGTCAATGAGCATGCTCAATGCTTGAGTTATTGGGGTGTGTGTGTGGAAGGGCTATTTTATATCCCCCCCCCCCCAGCTATTCTGTGTACCCAGGGAGTCACCTGTGTGCAGAGGAATCCTTCTCTTATTTGTAGGTGGCCCAGTCGCACTGCCCTGCTGGTAAGCCAGAAGGCCATCCAATTCACCCTTAGTTGAAGGGAGGGTTATATAGGTTGACCGGGTAGTAAGCAAGAAGGCTCAGGGTCAGCCATTGCTAAGCCTGAAGCACCATCAGTCTCCAGGGCAATCATAGAGCTTCTAAAATGCTGTGTTAAAAAGGGAGGGGCAGGAGGGGAATTCCCCTTAGGAATGCTTTCTCTGGACACATGCAGATTGCGCACTAAGCAGGTCAGCATGCAGGAATGTGGGAGGGGCATGATTAGCCTCCGGAACCCATGAATCCAGATGCTGTCATTTCCCCATCCAGTGCCAAGCTATGCCAAAAAAACCAACCAAAACCCAGTTTTGCATAATAGAAGCTCTGCAAAAGTCCATTCCCGAGTAACGAATACATTTTGAATAATCACAGAACTGAACATTTATCCTGCAGCTGTGAAACAGCCTGCCCGTGTGACCAGAACCTGTGCTTTACATAAAAGATACTGATGTACCTTGCAAAGACAAAACGGCTCTCTTTTCCCCCTTCCCATTTGGAGTTCTGAACAAATTTCTCCCCTGCAGTTGTCAGTGGCATAGTGCTGGAAGGAGAGTTTAGTGCAGGAACTGGGGAGGTGTCAGCAAGCTGCCATGGTGTTCTGTGTGACTTCTGTTGTACATATGTGATCCCTGTCCCTGCCAGCTGCTGTAATGCCAAAGTAAAACAACTGGAGGATGTGAGGGGGAGAGTATGCTTCGCTGCTAGCTTGTTACTTATCAAGCCTGAGAACTGCACCTGTGTTATGTCTACTGTTCGCCTGGTTCCCAGGACCTGAGCGCGCAACCGTTTTCTCCTGCCTGCCAGCGGGAACGTTATCTATTGGTTATGTATCTAACTTGAATCCCTTTATCATGTTTGCCCTAACTGCTTGTACCCAGTTCTAACAAGGAACGTGTTTGAGTGTCTTTCCAATGCTTTGAAATAAACTTTGCTTTCTTTGGAAACGTGGATTTATTCTCGATGCTTGGGGATCCAACAGGAGGTCCGTTGTAAAGGCAACCAATGAAGAGGCTTGTGGGTCAGCAGCAACTAGCGCTCCTTGCAGACCACCACACGGAAAGCAGCCTGACCGCCCGTGCATTCTGGCCCATCCAGCTCGCGGGGCTTGCTGTCCACAGCAGAGGGTAAAATTTGGTGATTTATTGAGCCCCTGGTGGGTTATGATGATCATTACTAAGTACATTTTTATTCCATTCTTCCAAAGAGCTCAGGGTGGCCTACATCGGACTCCCCGCCTCCATTTAGCCCACACAACAACCCTGTGAGGTAGGTTAGGCTGAGAGAGAGTGACCCTCCAGTTCCAAACATGTCAAATGATCATTAAGAAAATTAAGTGATTCTGTGCATAAGAAAACGGAGCTCAAACGCACGGTTAAGGGTTCGTCCAAGGTAAAAAGCGTGGCCTTGCTTGTTTGCTTCTCTTTACAAAATCAGCAAACTGCAGACATGTAAGGATTGCAGGCGATATGCTGTGACTTCAAGCGAGCAGGGTTGTCTGGGGTAGACTGAGCCAACCTTCTGACAACACTGTACAAATATTTTTGAGTTGACAGAGAGGGGAGCAAATAAAAAGTGTGATGGATTCTGATTAAAACTCTACACTGCAGCTTGAGAAAGGGATAGAGGAAGATCGGGAGCAGGGCTAAGTAACCTTAGAAATCAAAACACAGCTCAGTGTACACTTAAAAAAAATGCAAGAGATCACAAGGTTTTAATCATCTGTGTTTCGCTCATGCACATTGACTGAATTCTTGGGAGTGCTCTCCTCCAGCACACGGAGTCCCTTAACATGCTGGTAGTGCAAATTATAGCCGGGCTTTAAATAATAATTTACTTGTATATGATTAAAATATTAGTTCACAGTATTACTCAGCATTACTTTCCACCCCCTGACACAGCAGATCAAAGAAAGGGTAAATTAAAGTGCTCTGAAGCTGCCCTACGGAATCTTTTTTAACATACATTCCACAACACAAATCGCCGTGGGTGTAACCCAGTTTTTAATGGCCCCGATGCGGCTGGGTGCTCTTTGTTACGGGACTTTCAGTCGAGACTTGGAAATGTAGTGTTCGGAAATGGTCCTTCGGTGTCGATTCCTGATGCATCTTTTGGAGTTTCCAGACAGCGAGCTGGCAAAATGTGTACGGTGTCTGTTCTGTGACCAGCAAGTACGATGTGAAGACTCGTCTTTCCTCAGCTGCCTGTCTTCTATGGAGACAGTCTCTTTCCATTCCTTAAGGTTTTTTTTTTTTTTTTGGTGTGTTCAAAACCAAGGTACGCCACTCTGTCCTGCTACAGTAACTCCTGCTCATCGTCTTCGGATCCAGAGGGGCCTTGCCGCACCTCTTCATACCACTTGTTGGTGAGGGTTTTCATCTGTATCCGCCCGTGGTGCAGGTCCTAAGGCAGAGAAAAACGACAGCCTCTTACTTATTTTATTTACTTCATTCCACACCCTGCCTTCCTCTACAAAGTGACATGTTTATCTCCTCCCCTCCATTTTATCCTCACAACAACCCCGTCAGGTTAAGTTCCGGGTGGCCAGTCGTGTTGGTCTGAAGCAGTGGAACAAATCTAGAGTCTGCTAGCACCTTTAATTAATTAATTAATTAATTAATTAAATTTATTTAATTCGATTTCTATCCCACCTTGCCTGACAAGCAGGCTTTAAGACCAACAAAGGTGTATTCAAGGTGTGAGCTTTCGTGTGCACGCGTGCTTTTTCAAATACACTGGAATGAAAGGTAGCGTTCAAACTTATAGACAGAGGTTGAACAGCTAAATTAACATGCAACGTGATGAAGATGCTTTAAGATATGCAAAGACAAAACGAAATAACAAGCTAAGGTTATAGACTGCGAGCATGCGACAGGCCCAAGGTCACCCAGCAAGCAGTGTAAGGATTCGAACCTGGGTCTCCCAGATCTTAGTCCAGGGGTAGCCAAACTGTGGCTCAGGAGCCGCAGGCGGCTCTTTCACATATACAGTGTGGTTCCCGGCAGGGCGGCTGGGGAAGCTTAAATATCAGTAGCAAACAAATATCATTGGACAAATAAATATCATTATCAATAGCTGCCTTTACCGCTTTTGTTATTATTTTCGGCAGCCTCGTTTAATGTTAATAAAAAGCAAATCTGCATATTTACCAGTAAAAACGTGTAATATTTGTTCATGTCTTGCGGCTCTCAAACATCTGACGTTTATTCTATGAGGCTCTTACGTCAAGCAAGTTTGCCCACCCGTGTCTTAGTCCACCACTTGAACTGCTACAGCATGCTGGCTCTTGGGCAGCCGGGGCGGTGGAGGGGGGGGGGGAGAAGCACTCTGATCTCTACCTGTGCATGAGGCAGAACAGCCTTAGCGGTCAGAGCATCAGACTATGACCTGGGAGACCCAGGTTCAAACCTCCACTCTGCCTGGGAAGCTCACTGGGCGACCTGGACCAATCAGGTCTCGTCCATGACCTAACCTCACAAAGGGGGGTGGTGGTTGTGAGGATAAAATGGAGGAGAGGAGAATGAAGGTATAGCCTGCTTTGTGCGCCCTTTAGGCAGAAAAGTGGGATATAAATACCTAAATAAATAAAGTTGTCTTGTGTGTAATAGAATACTTAGCTGCTGACAGAGGGCATAAGGGGAACATTTACACTAATACAGACAAACGTGGATTGGGAAACCCAGCACAGAACCTGGCATCTTGAACTTCGGGCTTCCAATCCTCAAGTGTGCTTTACACACTCTGCTCTTCATGTGTGCACCTAAGAAGCTTTTGACCATACATCTAAAAATACAAAGGCTGAAATCTGACAAAGAGGCGCAAAACAGGCATCACATGGGCTTGTCAAAAAGCTGGGATTGGCTGCAGCTCCCTGCTGAATGGCAAACCTGTGTTTGAGGCTGTGTTATATCAAGATGGGTAGTTCGCCTGTAGCTTTAGAAAAGAGCAAGAGTCCAGTAGCACCTTAAAGACTAACAAAATTTGTGGCACAGCAGGCATGCGAGTCACTCTTCCTGTGACTGTATTTCATTTCTGTTGCAGGAAGTCGCCTGCAATCACTTTACGTATGCACGAGTCCCACCAAGGCTGGTCAGCGCAGACGCAGGAAGCCTGCACCGTATTCCCATGCTGAACTCAAAAGCAGAACCCACCTCTTGCGTGAGCCGTCTGGTAAAGAAAGGATTCAAGTATTTGGCGTCGAGCCACATGAAGCCTTTGAGGTCCTGGCGCTTGATGTAGTGGGCCTCATACTCCTCCTCGGTGAGTTCCGACAAGTGTTCCGATTCAATGGTATTTCCCTGGAAAGTTTGGAGAAGGGACAGAGAACATCAGGATAGGAAATAACTCATCCTCTGTGTATTTGGTAGCTCTTTAGCCTCCCCCATTTATTCTATTTATTGAGGCTGACAACCACAGCAATTTGACGAAACACCAGAAAGCAGCAGTGTCTATGCAATAACCACTGAACACATGCCAATTTCCCACAGACCTTATTGGCTGAAGCTGAAATGGTATTTCCCTGGAAAGTTTGGAGAAGGGAGATCAGGATAGGAAATAACTCCTCCTCTGTGTATTTGGTAGCTCTTCAGCCTCCCCCATTTATTCTATTTATTGAGGCTGACAGCCACAGCAATTTGACGAAACAACAGAAAGCAGCAATGTCTATGCAATAATAACCACTGAGCACATGCCAATTTCCCACAGACCTTATTGGCTGAAGCTGAAATGACCAATGCAGATTTTAATGGGCACCAAGCTTAGAAGAAGAAGAAGAGCTGATTTTTATACCCCTGCTTTTCTCCACTCGAAGGAGTTTCGAAGTGGCTTACAATCGCCTTCCCTTCCTCTCCCCACAAGTGGCACCTTGTGAGGTAGGGGGGCTGAGAGAGTTCGTGAGCTGTGACTGGCCCAAGGTCACCCAGCTGGCTGCATGTGGAGAAGTGGGGAATCAAACCCGGTTCTCCCGATTAGAGTCTACCGCTCTTAACCGCCACACCATGCTGGCACTTGTGGTCATATGTGGAGAGACAAAAAACAGCAAAAAGAAATGCCAGGGTCCTGCATTTAACTAGATTTACTTGCATGTGAACTGCTGTCTTACTAGTTGCTCTTTACATTCTGCACTAACGGCCTCGGAATAAAAAGGGGCAGTCCATCAAAATGCTGGCAGAACGATGGGCAGGCACTTGTGGTCATATGTGGAGAGACAAAAAACAGCAAAAAGAAATGCCAGGGTCCTGCATTTAACTAGATTTACTTGCATGTGAACTGCTGTCTTACTAGTTGCTCTTTACATTCTGCACTAACGGCCTCGGAATAAAAAGGGGCAGTCCATCAAAATGCTGGCAGAACGATGGGCACATCAAAAGTCGGTGTAGGTTATATGGCTTGACCAGGTAGTAAGGACGGCGTGTATTGTGTGACTGTCCTGTGACTGCACAAAAGCTGGAGCAGGATGGAGCGCTCAGTGAATGAAAAGTTGC